GAGGCTCACCGGGCCATTTATCTCTCCATCCTTCAATTAACCCCACATGTCTTTATCGGCCAGGCTGGCACAATAAACCCTAATGACCTCAGTGGGCGACTCCTCTGCAGTGGACAGCCTATTCCTTCGCCATCGTCTGTTCTTAGTCTGGAAGCTCCCCTGAAACGGTTCACCTAGGTGACCCTGCTGGCATTTGAAATGCCAGTGACAGAGCTTCCGGCATCCCAGCAGCACACAAGCCACCACCGTACAACACGCTGACAGACTGAGGGTAGCAGGGACGCTAGAGAGTTGCGACGGGTCTGGAGAGACTCAATGGCAGTAGGTTTTGTTTTGGGCTTGACAGAAGGTGAGCCATTATGTCAGGCTTCGGGTAGAGAACCCCGCTGTGCTGGGTCGCAGTGGGTAGTCCCTTGCTGTGTCGTTCACAGGGTGGGGAACCCTGCTGTGCTAGGCCGCTGGGTAGAGAACCTCACTGTGGAGTGGAGAACCCTGTGTGTTGGTTATAACGTGTAGACCCTCGCTGCGTCAGGGCACAGGATGGAGAACCCCACTGTCTCGGGCCATTGGGAGGAGGGGACCCTCCCTGTATTGGTCCACAACTTAGCCCCAGCATCGTCTTTTACGCTAGAACTCACGTTGCACGTTTCTCAGAAGGCTCCTTTTCACCTTGACCTACGCTGCCCTCCTGGTTGCCCGATGAACCAGCTCTGGTTTCTTGAAGGGGGTGAGGGGGTCGGTCCCATGCCGTGCTCACCTGTCCCCGTGCTCTGCTCCCTGTAGGCAGGCCCCCCGGGCATCCTGGCCCTGCTGGACGAAGAGTGCTGGTTCCCTAAGGCCACCGACAAGAGCTTTGTGGAGAAGGTGGTGCAGGAGCAGGGTACCCACCCCAAGTTCCAGAAGCCCAAGCAGCTGAAGGACAAAGCCGATTTCTGCATCATACACTATGCTGGCAAGGTGAGTGGGCTGCAGCGAACCGCTCCAGGACCAGGGTGGGCTGGTCCGGTGACTCAGTTGCCCCTGTGGTGGGAGACAGTCAGGGGGTCACTCCCATGGATGCCCCCAATGGCCAGGCTGGTTGCTGTAAAGGTATGTTATGATTCTTTAGCCCACCACCCAGGTGACTAAAGGCTCAAGTTCTGGAGTTAGAGGTCTGCCACTCATGCTGTGTGGCCTTGGGCCTGTTACTCACTCTCTCTGAGTCTTGGCTTCCTCATTGGGAAATGGGGGTGACCACCAAGCACACAGAGTGGCGTATGAGTTTGCAGAGTCCAATGCTGGGCTTTGGGACCACTGACGTTGTGGGTGGACACTTCCTGGTAGTGGGTGGCTGTCCCACGGCTGGTGGGCTGTTTGGCAGCTCCCGAGGCACCTGCCTACCAGATAGCAGCAGCAACCCCAGATGTTGTTGAGACTCCTCTGTGGCTTAGAGACTAGGGACCTGCTGGTGACCTCCGGGTGATGACTGTGGTCACACGTCCAGAGAGCTGTAGTAGGCAGACCTGCTCACACTGCACACAGCCCCCCAGTCTGCCTGATGCTGGGGCTTCCACCAACGGAGCCACTGCCCGCAGGCCATACAGACATGGGTACCCCAGAGGCTAAGGCTGGCGTTTTACAGAGCGCTCTGCATCCCCTGTGGGAAGTGCCCGTCATCCATTGCAGAAGAACATGTGACTGACGGGTCTGGGGCCCAGTCTCCTGGGTCCCTGGTAGACAGTACCACCCTGCAGCTCCTGCCTGTAGCCCCTGCCTGCTGCCCCCGAGCTGCGTGGCCTTACACCCCGTCCACCTGAGCATTTGTCTCCCGCGCCGGTGGCTCAGAGAAACACACAGACGTGCCTCCATTGTGTTGTGCACTGCGCAGATCACCTGGCTTTACACACGGAAGGCGAGCAAGTCTGTCAGTGCCCCTTTCCCAGTGGAAAGGGACCGGGCCAGCTGTTGTCCCAGCAGGATGACATCTTCTTCCGGGGAGGGGTACCCCAGCGTTCCATGCTCCCTTCCCAGCAGCGGTGCCCACACGTGATTCCCCTGGCCTGGCCGAACAAGGGTCGGGGGCCCAGCCCTGTGTCTGGCGGGTTTGCAGGCGCTGGGGCGAGGGCATAGTTGTGCTGCTCGTGTTGCTGAGGCTGCATTTCAAACCAGAGGCGAATGCACGGCCTTTAGAGAAGCACAGCCGCTCCGAGAGGCCAGCGAAAGCCCCAGATTAGCTCCGCCCCAGGACGCAAATAGTCCGTCGGCGCGGGCCCTCGGGTGTTTCCTCTATGTCTCTCACCCGAGGGACACATTTAGAAGCAGAAGGTTCTGTTGTGGTCCCGCGTGTGGCCGGCTGGGCGCCGCGTGGTTTGTGATCATTCTGCAGCACGGCGGAGAGAGCACGCCCACCGTCCACCAGGCCCCTCATTGTCGTTCCCAGGAGGGCGAGCACGCCTGTCCCCAGAGCCTGCCCACAGGGTGGGGTGTGAGTGCGGAGGTCCCCAGGCCCTGCCCGAGGGGTCAGGTGTGAGCACGCCTGTCCCCAGAGCCTGCCTGCCCCTGAGGTCGGGTGTGAGGGCTGCCCCGCCTCCGCGTGGCCCGTCTCAGCCCTGGGGCTCTTGCAGGTGGACTACAAGGCCGACGAGTGGCTGATGAAGAACATGGACCCCCTGAACGACAACATCGCCACGCTGCTGCACCAGTCCTCCGACAAGTTCGTCTCCGAGCTGTGGAAGGATGGTACGCCCTTTGCCCATGCTGCCGGCCGGCCGCGCTCCCCCCATCCATGCGGGGGCCTGTCTCCTTGCTTCTCATTTGAGACAAGCCCCATCGTTTCGGGGCTCCAGCCCTTTCCAAAAGAGTGGGCTCCTTGAATGGGAAGAGGAAGGCCCCCCCTGGGGCCGTGCATGGCACCCACAGACAGCCAGAGTCCTCCCCAGCCTGGCCACGGCCCGGCGGCCCTCCCGCTGCTCAGGTGTCCTGCAACGGGCTCTCTCCTCGCCTCTCCTGCCCCTCGGCACGCTCTTGGCTTCGGGGCTCCTCTCTGCCCGGCTCTTGCCGGTGTCCCTCGCCTTCGCCTTGTTCTGCTTTACCCTCTCCGTTGCAGAGATGCTGAACACGCAGAGAGCCTATTTCTATCAGCGCTTTCCCATTCTCCACCTAGAATCAGGTGACCGGCCGCTCCAGGGGCTCGCGTGTGGGTGCATCCCAGGCTGCGCAAGAACTGCTTCTGCCGAGCCCCCCTGCTGCCCTGCCCTCCTGACTGCCCCCATCCCTGCCTGCCCGTGGGCCTGTGGGCAGCCCCTTCCTGCTGTACCTGTCCCCAGTCTGCGGGAGAACGGAAGCCCGGCGTAGTTAGAAGGGGAGCCGGGGGTGACAAGCCCGCCCCGTCCTCAGAGTACTGCCCTCTGGAGGCACAGCTGTGGGCAGGAGGCGGGTGTAGGTGCCGGGCAGGCTGCCGCCTGTGCGTGCTGCGCCTGTGCTTGTGTGTGTGCGCGTGTATGCGGCTCGTGCTGGCACAGGGCCCTGAGGGGCCACCTCTGTCCATCCTCAAAGCCACCTCCCTCTAGGAGACCTGTGGCCCTGCTTGGTGTGTGTGTTCGTTCCTAAAGGCCATAATACCTTCCGTTTGCCTCAGCTGGTCAAGCTCCCACCCTCGCCCCCAGTTCTGGTCCTTCTTGCTGTCCTGAGATCAGCAGTTGGGGTATGGTGGCCCCAAGAGCGGGCACAGGATGGGCAGCTTCCCCGGCAGGCGTGGGAGGCTTCTGGCTTCACGTTCGTTCTGGCTGACAGCTGGCCTTGCAGGCTCGTGTGTCTGTCTGTGCCCGGGAGGCAGCTGTCCAATGCCCGGCAGTGGGCGGCCACCACAGCCATAGGATTGCTCCCCCGCAGTGGGCTGGCTTAGGTGCCCGGGACCCACAAGCCAGGCCAGGAGAGGGGATGGTGGGCGGGAGGAGCGAGCGTGGGCGCACTCGGTTTCTAACACAGCGAGTGCCGCTGGAAGTCCCCATCGAGAGACTACCCCCGCCTGAGGAGGAGCCCCGGTGGCAGAGTGGGTACACACTGGGCTGCTAACGGCAAGGTCAGCGGTTCCAGACCACCAGCTGCTCCACGGGAGAAGGAGGAGGCTTCTTATTCCCTATAGAGAGTTACAGCCTCAGAAGCCCGCGCGGCAGTTCTGCCCTGGTCTCCAGGAGTGCCGTGCCGTGAGCTGGCATCGAGCTGATGGCAGTGCATTTGGTTTCTTTGGTCCGGCTGCTGGAGGAGGGGGTTCCACCCAGAGTCCCATGGACACCTGCAGGTGGTTTTAGCTCATTGGCCCTGCACATGCTCGGAGGTCCAAGTTAGCAGGAGCTTAAGATGCCCATTCGTTTTCCCCCTGGGGCCACGGGATGGTTCTGAAAATAGGGTTTCACACCCCCTCCCAGTCAGGGCCGGGGAGCCCCAGTAGCACAGGTGACTTGCAGCCATTCACTAACCCAGAGGGCTGCAGTTCGGGACTGCCCAGAAGGATTGCAGCCGATGGGGCACAGCCGTGGCCCCCCACCCTATGGGGCACAGCTGCACAACTGTGCCTGTGGGTGGAGAGTCCCGACCACCTGACAGTGAGGGTGGGATGTGCTTTAGTCCGAGCCCGGCCAGCATGGGGCCTCTCAGTTCTAAACCTTTTCTCCAGTTTACTGCCTTTCTGTGGGTTGAGCATCTTTCAGCGGCTGCAGGTAGGTGTTGGGTCAGGAATGCCACCTTGGCAGATGCTGTTCTCCCAGAGAGGGCATCTCAGTGTCTCGTCCCCCCAGCATCCACTGTGCTCAGCATTTGGGGGTGATCTTGGCGCCTGTGTGAAGTCCAAACCAAGCAAGGCTTGTGTTCTGTCCTGTTTTGCCTCTTTTCTGCCCACGTGACCATCTGCCCCGCTCCTCTTGGGACGGACAGAGGCTCACGGGCACTTGTCTGGTCTCCGCAGTGGACCGCATCATCGGTCTGGACCAGGTGGCCGGCATGTCGGAGACGGCGCTGCCCGGGGCCTTCAAGACTCGCAAGGGCATGTTCCGCACCGTGGGGCAGCTGTACAAGGAGCAGCTGGCCAAGCTGATGGCCACGCTGAGGAATACCAACCCCAACTTCGTGCGCTGCATCATCCCCAACCACGAGAAGAAGGTGTGGCCCGTCACGCCCAGCCTGGGTTATGCGCCTGCTTGGTAACCTGGGGGTGGTCAGAGGGTCCCTCTTAAGTCTGTGGAGCCTCCCAACTGTTCCCCTCGATTCATGGGCACCAACCCGAGCGAGACCCATTCCCGTACTCTCTGCATTAGGCTGGCAAGCTGGACCCCCACCTGGTGCTGGACCAGCTTCGCTGTAATGGCGTCCTGGAGGGCATCCGCATCTGCCGCCAGGGCTTCCCCAACAGGGTGGTCTTCCAGGAGTTCAGGCAGAGGTGAGCTGGACCTGCCAGTTCCTCCCCCTGGGACTTTACCCTGTTCCTACTTGCCCAGGGTTTCAGGGCCCTCCCTCTTCCCTCTCTACCTCTCTACCTTGGCCCCGCCCCCAACCCCCTTTCTCCGCCCCCACTTGCCTTTCCCCTGGTTGCCCACCCCCTCCATCTTGGTCACGCCCACTACCCTCTAGGCCACACCCCCTTTCTCACCCCTCCGCACTCAAGTGGACACCTCCCAATGTGTTTGGGGGTTTTGTTTTTAAAACCGAACCTCAAGCCCCGACTTGGATTGAGTTCCACAGCCCACTGGAGTTTCTATTCATGTGCAAGCCTTCCTTCTGCCCTCCAGCCAGGCCAAGAGCAGGGTGGGCTCTGCCGACTGGCTGCTTCCCTCTGTAGAACGAGACAGGCCTGAGGGGCTCCACCTCTCCTGTGAACCCCAGGCCTTAACTGGTGGACAACCCCCACGACACTCCCCCCCACCCCACCCCACCCCACCCCCGCTTGGCAAGCAGCACGAGCAGGTTACTCCCTCCATCCACAGATACGAGATCCTGACGCCGAATTCCATCCCCAAGGGCTTCATGGACGGAAAGCAGGCCTGCGTGCTCATGGTGAGTAGGGCAGCCGGGCTGTCCAGTGGAGGTGCCGGTCACAGATGCCCTGTGGGGGGGAGTCTCTCCTTGGTGCTCCGAGCAGCTGCCCACTTGGCTCCAGCCCTGTGCCCCATGGCATGGCCCTGCTGGCAGACCTGCACCCTCATGGTGTGACTCTCCCTTCATCCCAGACCCAGGGTGGGAACTCTCAGGGAGGGAGGGCCCCACTCACTCCCAGGTTGGGTCAGACCCTAAGCCCACCCTGCCGGGGCAGAGGCCGGTGGTCTGGGCTGTTGGCTCCCAGGTGCCCACAGCAGTGCCGGCGTGGCCCACAGCCTGCCCTGTCCCACCCAGATCAAAGCCCTCGAGCTCGACAGCAACCTGTACCGCATCGGCCAGAGCAAGGTGTTCTTCCGGGCTGGCGTGCTGGCCCACCTGGAGGAGGAGCGGGACCTGAAGATCACAGATGTCATCATCGGCTTCCAGGCCTGCTGCCGGGGCTACCTGGCCAGGAAGTGAGTGCCCGTCGGGGCCCCAGTAACATGCTGGGTGGGACGGGGCTTGCCATGTGGGATGGCACTCAGAGGGATCTTGCTCCTTGGGTCCAGACAGAAAGCAGCCTGGGGAGCTGAGTGTCCCTGCTCTAGTGGGACCACAGCTATGGGCCGGACTGTGTTGGGATAAAGGGTGCCCACCTGTCCTGGCTGCTGCCACAAGGGTGCACCTCTAGAGAACAAAACTCATTTCCTCGCAGTTCCGGGGGCCGGCAGTCCGGGGGAGGCTTTGGCTGCCTTGTCCGTGCTCCTGGGGGGGACCCATGGCAGCCCTCCTACTCTTGCCTGCCTGCCACTCAGCCTCCTCTCCTGATCTTCCTATCTTGGGAATGCCAGGCGACCCACCCTGCTCTGGGATGGCCCCAGTATAAAATACGGGGCCCCTGCCGTAGCCGCAATAATTCACAGTGCTGCATAGTTTTGGGAGGCATACAACTCCATCTGTAACCCCCACTGCGGCGGCAACCTCTTCGCTGCTGATGTTTCTCCATCAGCCAAAACCCCAGGACATGCCCGCTGGGATGCTGGCGTCCACAGGCACCTCGCACCTTCTTGGCTATGGGGTCAATGCCCTCCCACCCGGCCGGGCGTGCTGGACCCATGATGGCCACCATCCTCCCCACGAGGGTCAGTGGCTTGGCCGACATCCTGAAGCTCCTCAGTTGGGTTCCCGAGAGAGGTTGCCAGCCCCCTGCCCTGAGGTGCTGAGCGAGCTCCCTCCTTCCCCCAGGGCCTTTGCCAAGCGGCAGCAGCAACTGACGGCCATGAAGGTCCTGCAGCGGAACTGCGCCGCCTACCTCAAGCTGCGCAACTGGCAGTGGTGGCGGCTGTTCACCAAGGTAGGTCCTGCCCGGCCCGCAGGGACCCCCATGGGTGGGGCATGGGCCCAGGGAGGCCCGGCTCGGCCATGTGCCCCTGTGTGCACGGGCCCCACCTGCTCCTGGCCTAGCTTCAGGGTTGCTCAGTAGGCAGCCCCTTCCCGCAGGGAGCAGGGACCTGGGTCTCCAAGAAGCCACAGACACCTGACTCAAAATGTGCACGTGGCTGGAGGCTCAGCCTTGCCCTTTAAGGAAGTACAAATGGGGTTAAGTCTGCTTGGGGGTTATTCCAAAAGCTTTAGCAGGAGCCAGTAGATATTCCAGTTTTAGGCCCAGCCCTTTGGTCCTGTATTCCACGCCTGCACCGGAGCCATGGAAACTACACACATGCGACCTCGCCGGGCTGTGACGCATGCCAGCATGTCGACTCTGCCCTTTCCGTCTACAGTGCCTTCAGGCTTCGTGCTTCCTGAGGCACTAAGGGGATTGCAGACACGGGTCTGCGCGCCACTCCCGATTTCCCGCCCTGGCAGGCGATGGCTTCCTGCACAGGGAGGGTTTCCCCGACCAGAGCGAGCAGGCCAGAGGCCTGGGGCCCAGCTGGATTTCCAGAGAGACCCGTGGTCCCATTTGGCCCTGCTGCCCGCAGCAGCCTGGTCCACCTGCAGGCATCCCCCAGCCAAGCCCAGCGTTGTCTTTCCCTCCATCTGACTCCTAGGTCAAGCCGCTGCTCCAGGTGAGCCGGCAGGAGGAGGAGATGATGGCCAAGGAGGAGGAGCTGGTGAAGGTGCGGGAGAAGCAGGTGGCTGCTGAGAACAGACTCACTGAGATGGAGACGCTCCAGTCCCAGGTGAGTTTTTGCCCCTCCCCAGCACTGCCACCTGCTGGCCACCAGCGAGCAAGGCGTGTTTGGAGCAGAAGCAAGTGTTCTCATGGTTAGGCGTTAGCCCAGGAAGCTGGTGTGAAGTCCGCAGACTCCGTTAGATGCAGGGAGGTGGGATTTCGGGTGCAGTGGGATGAGAATGAGCCTCTGGTCCCAGCCCCTCCCCCTGACCTCCCCCAGAGGCTTTCCTCAGGACCATGTTGCTCCTGGGCAGCAATGGCCCGTGACAGGCCTGGGGCCTGGGCTAGGCTGGGGCGTGCTGGTGCTGGCGTGCACCAGGGGCTGGCATCTCCGCCGTGTGTCCTTGCAGCTCATGGCAGAGAAGCTGCAGCTGCAGGAGCAGCTCCAGGCGGAGACGGAGCTGTGTGCCGAGGCGGAGGAGCTGCGGGCCCGCCTGACCGCCAAGAAGCAGGAGCTGGAGGAGATCTGCCACGACCTGGAGGCCCGCGTGGAGGAGGAGGAGGAGCGCTGCCAGCACCTGCAGACGGAGAAGAAGAAGATGCAGCAGAACATTCAGGTGTGCGACCCCGATCTCTGACCCCGCAGAGGCCACACGGGCCCCAGCGAGAGCCCAGCAGCCGGGAGTCTCCTGGGGGGCCGCCACCACGCCTTCTGCTCCCGGGAGTGCTCTCTGACACAGACACTTCCACTCTATGGACACTGCTCAGTGTCCTGCCGGTCTGAGCTCCTTCCCATCAGACCTCCTGCTGCGGGTCTGGAGAGCAGAGGGTGGTCAGTGAGGGTGTCCAGGGGTGTGACTTCTTGTCCCAGTCACTGGGAGGTGGGGATGGATTGTGAAGGAGGCCCCTTAGAGCACATGACCAGAAAGCGGACTCGGGTTGTGCCCCCACCAACCCTGCTTTTCCAACCCTTGGGGGGTGGCCTGGGGCTTGGAGAGGAAGCCCGCATTGCTCAGCCTGTGTTGTGTGGCCTGGCCGGGGGCAGGAGCTGGAGGAGCAGCTGGAGGAGGAGGAGAGTGCCCGGCAGAAGCTGCAGCTGGAGAAGGTGACCACTGAGGCCAAGCTGAAGAAGCTGGAGGAGGACCAGATCATCATGGAAGACCAGAACTGCAAACTGGCCAAGGTGAGACCCCGCGCAGGCCCTCAGGCTGCTGTGCTCCAGCCTAGGGCGTGTGGGTGGAGCCGTTGGGCTGTCCTGCAACTCCCCGCCAGCCCACAGCCCCAAGGCTCCTGCTCTGTGGTGGGCCCTCCTTCTCGGGGCTTGGGGCTCCCTTGACTTCTGGGCGTGGACGTCCTGTTTGAAGGCTTGTTCCCTATCATCAGGATCCGCAGGTGGCACCCGTGGTTAAAGGCCCCGCTGCTAACTGAAAGGTTGAGTGTTCGAATCCCCCAGGCTGCTCTAGCAGACAGGCTTGGCCATGCACTGCCATCGAAAACCCCAGGGAGTCAGAATCGGTGGCACAGCGAGTGGCTTGCTTGGTTTATTTTTGTGTCGCGTCGGGTTTCTCATACACTGCTGGGGCCAAGGGGGGGCCGTGACCTCTCCCCTTTGTAGTACAGCCTCAAAAGCTTTGAGACACGAGATGCCATGGCAGCTCGGTCTGGGGTGCGTAGAGCCCCCTCGGCTACCTCTGAGGGGACCGACGGGCAGTTTCTCCTGGGAACTGACCCTCCAGTTAATGCCTGCTGCAGGGAGCAGGGCAAAGCTGCGAAGATGCTGGAGAAGGGCAGGGCTGGGCCTGGACATTGTCCCCTGTCTCCAGAGGGCGGGGCCGGTGGAAGGGGAGATGCTGTCTGGGGAGGTAGTGCTGATTCACCGCAGGCCGCCTGGTGGTGGGTGTTAGGGGGACCCTCCTGGGCAAAGGAGGAGAGCATCCCTGCATGCAGACTCTTTGGGGGTCATTTGAGGGGGTCATTGTGAAGGTGTGAGGAACAGGGAGGAGCCAGAGTTCACAAGGTGGGTGGGTGGGGGCAACTACAGGGATGATGAGGTAACACCAAGAAGCGCCCTGTGGTGCCTCCATCTTAAAGGGACAGTACCAGGTTTTCCTCGCCAACAATAGCTGCCGTCCAGAAGCCTATGTTGCCTGAGCCCCACGGGGTAACACAGATCCAGGGAGGGCTTTTCCCATTTGAACATTAGCTACATTTAGATTCTAAGGTGCTTGACTTAGTTATTTCAGGAGAGTTAGCCCTCTTTCCTCAGAGCCCTGGTGGCATAATACATTACGTGTTGGGCTGCTAAGGTCAGCAGTTCAAAACCACCAGGTGCTCCTCGGGAGAAAGATGAGGCTCCCTCTGTCCTGTAGGGTGGCTGAGCGTCAGTGTCGACTCCACGGCAGAGGAGTTGAGAGCCATCGGGGTGTACTGGTGGGTCAGAGGTAGAATTCTCACCTTCTTTGCAGGGGACCCAGGCCTGACGCCCGAGCAATGCGCCGGGTGTTGCTATGATGCTGAACGGGTTTCAGCAGAGCTTCCACACCGAGACCACCAAGAATGGTCTGGTAATATAATTCACCCCCCGAGAGCCACTGAAAACCCCCTGGGTCAAAGCAGTCCCTTAATGGGTTCGGCGCAGGATCAGGCAGCGTGTTGTTTGTTTGTGGGGAGGCCGTGAGGTCTCGGGCCAACTTGAAGGCAGCTAATCGCAGTGTTCTTTCTATAGAATCCCTTTGCCTCAGGACATCCTGCTCAATCTGATCAAGCGTTTCAGGTTCTGCCTCTCCATTCAGTTCTGAAATCTGGAGGTGCCAGGCTCTGAGAGCCAAGTTGTTGTGTGCACAAGCAACGCTAAGCTCCCACCTTCTCCCATGCCACAGGAGAAGAAGTTGTTGGAAGACAGAATCGCTGAGTTCACCACCAACCTGACAGAGGAGGAGGAGAAATCAAAGAGCCTCGCCAAGCTCAAGAACAAACACGAGGCGATGATCACAGACTTGGAAGGTAGGGTGGGCGAGAGGGGGACTTCTGGAACAGGGAAGGTCGGGCTGGCATCAAAGAGGACACAGGATCTGGAAGCTAAGGATCACCTCTCTGTCCTTAAGCTCGGTGTTGAGTATTGTCTGTTTGAGTATCATGATAACTCGGTGTGTTTTATTTCCTACTCAATACTTTATTTAAATAATAAAACAAAAAAACCCAGGAGGGTCTGTGGCTACTCAGGGCTCCCCGATCCTCTTTCTCCCCCTCCTCCTCTCAGAGCGCCTTCGAAGAGAAGAGAAACAGCGCCAGGAGCTGGAGAAGACTCGCCGGAAGCTGGAGGGAGACTCCACGGACCTCAGTGACCAGATTGCTGAGCTCCAGGCTCAGATCGCAGAGCTCAAGCTGCAGCTGGCCAAGAAGGAGGAGGAGCTCCAGGCTGCACTGGCCAGGTGAGGAGCCCGGCCACCAGGTGGCCAAGAGGGGCGATTTGTCCCCTCACGTGGTTTCCGGTGTGCTTCTTGCTGTGCCTGCAAGCCTCAAGCACGCTCCTTGTTTTACTGCCTGAACGTAAAACATTTCATGTGAAAGCATTTCATGTTTGATAAAAAAACATAGTTTAGGACCCCTTTCTCTTTACATTCAAAATTTTATTTACCATGGAAAAAAGGTCACAAAATAGCATTACTCAACCACAGTATCCGTTTCCTTTCATGGAAAGATTCACTTTCTTGCCAATCAATGTATTGATTATGGTCCCATGTTTATATTTTTGCACAGTTGCGGTCATCACAAACCATAGCATTTTATTTAAGACTTGTTTTTTCTTCCCTAATTTAACATTTGAGTTGTTTGATATTAAATCTCAGAATTTACTTGAGAACTATCCATATGAAATTTCCCAATCCTCAAAGTGATGCGACCCCTAAACCTTTTGGTTGTCGCTTTTGTTGAGAGAAACTCCTAAGTACTATGATGATGCCTACTTGGATCAGCTTTGGCTGCACACCTCTCTAGCACTTTTCTATAAGTGCTGTTCTTGATGGTAAAAATGTCCTCATCCTAATGATGTTCTTTTCTTTGGCAGAGTGGAGGAAGAAGCTGCTCAGAAGAACATGGCCCTCAAGAAGATTAGGGAGCTGGAATCTCAGATTTCTGAACTGCAGGAAGACCTAGAGTCTGAGCGTGCTTTCAGGAACAAAGCCGAGAAGCAGAAACGGGACCTTGGGGAAGAATTGGAGGCTCTGAAAACAGAGTTGGAGGACACCCTGGATTCCACAGCTGCCCAGCAAGAGCTCAGGTATGCCATGGGATTGGCTGGCCAAATCACATGTGGTCCAGGAAAGGGGAAGCCACACAATTGTCATTGTGTAATGGAGAACCTGGAATGGGGTCCTCAGTAGCTTCTCCGTGCTGACCAGAAGACCTGCTTGCAGACCCTTTTCACGGTGTTGGGTATACAGAGGGTGCGGCAGGACATAGAAGCCCCCCAAAAAGTACATCTCTTGAAATCTTGGCCATAGGATGGGCAGCCAAGGAGGGTGGCCAGAACACCTCCTTGGGGTGGACCATGCCTCCATGCAGCTAGGAAGGGGCCCTAGTGGTGGCCCTCGGCCTCCATCCTGAGGGTGCTTCTCTGTCCAGGTCCAAACGTGAACAGGAAGTGAACATCCTAAAGAAGACCCTGGAAGACGAGGCCAAGACGCATGAGGCTCAGATCCAGGAGATGCGGCAGAAGCACTCGCAGGCTGTGGAGGAGCTGGCGGAGCAGCTGGAGCAGACAAAGCGGGTGCGAGAGCTCGGCCACGGGTGGGGTGGGGCTGCCTTCAGGAGAGTGGCCGCGCTGACACAGCTCCACGTCAGACTGTCCGGGTCTGGGTTCAGGCCGCACCCCTTAGCCGCGCTGTGGCCCGGGCTTCTTGTGCCTCAGCTTCCTATCTGCAGAAGAGGGTCACGACAGCCTTGGTCTGGATCATTCTGTGAGGATTAGGTAGTGACCGCCATGTGTAAGCTGTCAGCATGTAGGGATGCTGTGGACATATTGTCATAACCACTCTTAGTCCACCTAGCACGGCCAGAAAGTTCCTAAGAAATCGGAGCAGCCCGGAGACTGAATGCCAGGGGCGTTGTGTTTTGAAACCTGGGCCCTCTCCAGAGGAGCCCCGTGTGGTTGGCCAGGGTCTTCCTGGAGAGGTGGTGGCGTAGACCCCAACACATTTCCCGCTCAGGCAGCTGACAGTGGGCAGTCTTAGCAGGACAGGGGCAGTCCCTGGGGCTTCCTGCTCATAGCCATGCGTGTTGGCTGGTGTTTCCATGAGGCACCATGACAGGAAGCTCCATTCCTAACGGGGTTACCCTACCATCCCATTCTCAGGGGCCCTACATAGGGCTTCTGAGATGGTCAGTCTTTGTGGGAGCAAACAGCCTCATCTTTCTCCCGCTGAGCAGCTGATGGGTTTGAACCGCTGACCTTGAGGTTAGCATCTCAGTGCTCAACCCACAGTGCCGCTGGGATCCTTGTTCACAAGATTAGGGGTTGAGATTTTCAACTTGTACAAGAGGACTCCAAAAAGTTTGTAGGAACATCCGATTATATTTTAACTCTATTTATAATAGCTTTAAAAGACTCCTTTGTATTTAGGGGCAGAGGTATGGCCATTCTACCCTAATGATCTTAGAGGGGACTATGGGCAGGGATCATTTTTGACCCATGTGGGGCTGAGAGCCAAGTGAGGGTCAGGCCGTGCCCTCTGGGCCCCTGGCTGCCCGCAGCAACACCATCCTCTCCCCGAGATAAGCGGAGAGACACAGCTGCACCTCCTGGCTCTTGCTGTGCTGCCTGCCATACCTCAGGGGCACAGCGGCCCCTCCTAGCTGTTGTTGTCTACCCCCCCCACCAGGTGAAGGCCAACCTGGAAAAGACAAAGCAGACCCTGGAGAGCGAACGCGGGGAGCTGGCCAATGAGGTGAAGGTCCTGCTGCAGGGCAAAGGGGACTCGGAGCACAAGCGGAAGAAGGTGGAGGCCCAACTGCAGGAGCTGCAGGTGAAGTTCAACGAGGGCGAGCGAGTGCGCACAGAGATGGCCGACAAGGTCACCAAGCTACAGGTGAGTGGTCCCTCGGCTCTATCCTCTCCTCTCCCCAAGCAAGGCCCGTGTACTCGAGCTGGGGACTCGGCCCCGTGGCTCCAAGGTGTGAACAGGTGGGGTCGTATCATCACCATGGTTCTTCATCCTCATGCAGGTGGAGCTGGACAACGTCACAGGGCTTCTTAGCCAGTCCGACAGCAAGTCCAGCAAGCTGACCAAGGACTTCTCCACGCTGGAGTCCCAGCTGCAGGACACTCAGGTACAGCCTCACCCGCCTGGGGCACCCTGGGTGGCTGGCCTCAGCCTCCGGACCTTACCCATTCCCGAGTTAATCTGGGGCTCTCCCCAGACTCCGATTTGGAGGGCATGGTGACCCTCCACCCCAGCCCCCGTCCCCTGAGTGCCTGCACCCCTCTCCCGAGCGCAGGAGCTGCTGCAGGAGGAGAACCGGCAGAAGCTGGGCCTGAGCACCAGGCTGAAGCAGATGGAGGACGAGAAGAACTCCTTCAAAGAGCAGCTGGAGGAGGAAGAGGAGGCCAAGCGGAACCTCGAGAAGCAGATCAGCGTCCTGCAAGCCCAGGTGCGGTCTGCCCCTGTTCCCCGCTCACATATCGGGGTCTGGGATTGGCTAACAC